AAAGTTTCTTCTAAATAAAAAATAAAATTTGCCTTTTGAATTTTTTTAGAAACACTTCCTTTTATTTTTACTTCAAAGATTAAAATACGAGCTATTTTTTACTATTCCTTCACAAAAAAAAAAACGGATTCCTGTGCGAAATGATAAGGTTTAGAAAAAATTATATCTTCTAAATTAAAAACAATTTTCAAAACTTACCGAAACTGCACAAGAGAAATTTTGCTTTTTAAATTTTATAAACATTTTTTTATTTTCATTTCAAATATCAAAATTCGAGTTTTTTCCTACTATTCCGTCACAAATAAAAAATCCGTTCAAAACTAAAAGTTTGAAAAAAAATATATGTAAGTAGTTCTAGTTTTTTAGAAAAAYTTCTTTTTATTCTCACTTCAAATATTAAAATTCGTGCTATTTCTTACTAAAAAGATTTAGAGAAAAAGTTTCTTCCAAATAAAAAATAAAATTTGCCTTTTGAATTTTTTTAGAAACACTTCCTTTTATTTTTACTTCAAATATTAAAATACGAGCTATTTTTTACTATTCCTTCACAAAAAAAACGGATTCCTGTTCGAAATTATAAGGTTTAGAAAAAAAATTATATCTTCTAAATTAAAAGCAATTTTCAAAACTTACCGAAACTGCACAAGAGGAAGGCGAGAGTTGAGGTGGCAAAAGTGGTTAAAGTGGCTTTGGGGAAGAGGAAATGGGGGGTTTGGGACCCCTGACGCCGGTCATTGGCACACCTAAGGGCGAATTCGTCACTGTTGTCACCACAGTGGTCAAAACCGTCGCAATTGAGAAGGGAGGAAATGCAACGTTTGTTGTGACACAAAAAATCAGAACCGGAAAGACACTCATTGTAGTTAAAAGCTGCATAGACTATGGCAAGACGGGATTGAGGGCCAAACAAGCCCTTAAAACGGATATAAAACCCTTGGGAGATTTCCACAATGTGTTCACGATTTTTTTGGGTGTAGAATAAGGGCAAGGAGAGTTTCAGATTCTCAACCACTGGTCCATCCGAGGTCAAACCTTGCCGAACTGTCAATTCGGTACTCCCCGCTGAAACTTTTCAGATAATTTCAGGAAAATTCGCAGTGGTACCAACCAAAACCGGAAAAATTGACCACCTTGACGTACAAATGCGTTTTCAAGTGATACGTTTCCGGGGGTTTCACCAACCAAATGCAATCGAATGATTTCAACCCATCTTGGACCATATCCATCATGGTAATCCCACCCCCGGGATTCCCCACTTGCCCCCCACAATCTATGTTCGTCACATCGCTGATGTAGGAATAGTAGGCTTTGAAACCGAGCCCAGTGGCCCCATTGGCGTAAAATCTTATCACGAGTGATGACCCAGATGTGATAACAGGCGGACGAAAAATATTTCCGGTTGTAACGTAAATCCGGTCGCCTGAGGCGTCAAAAAACTAAAATTTGTTTTAGTCAAATTGTCAAAATGTCAACTAACATCAATGATCGAAGTTGGCGCTATGAGAAAGTCGGTGAAGACTAGATTGATTTTGCAAGTGTTGTCGGTTTTGCACCCAATGGTGTATTCCATGGTCAAGTCCGATGGGTACAAGTTGGGGAAAAATGGGCTTTGTACCATTTGGGTACCATTACCGGTTAGTACCACTTTGTTACCTGGAATTGGGGTATGAGTGGGGGTTTCACCCAGGGCCGTACCCAAGGGGGGGGGGGAGATTAGAGAGTTCAAACCCCCCCGAAATGCTGAGCACTTTGTTATACAGGGTGAATATAAATTACAGAACCAAGCGGTTTTATTTTTAATCATTTGCCTCCAGAGAATAATAATTAATATAAATTAAAGTAATATAAAAAATGTGATCGTATTTTCAGAACGAAATTTTGTTTTGTTTTTGAGTTATGCGATTTTTTTTGTCAAAATTGCAATTTATGTGAAAAAAATTTTTTGAAAAAATTAAATATAAAGCAGATAGTTGTAATCCTTAGAGTATAGCATTTATGAGAAAAATGATTTTATAGTGGGTTGCCATTTAAACAAATAATTTTTTTTGTAGAACTCAAAAACAAAACGAAATTTCGAAAAATTTTATTCTTGTTAGATCATCACATTTTTATAATACTTTATCACTCATCAATTAGTTTTTTCAAAAAATAAATAGTTTAAGGAAAAAACGTTTGGTTCCATACTTTTTATTCACCTGGTATAGTGTTATAAGTGTTAAAAATTTAGTTTTTTTGTTATTTTAATGAGTTTTGTGAATAAATTTTTCATGTGTTAATTATACAGTGTTTCATTTTATTGTTAAGTTCAAATTTAAATAGTTGATAGAATATTTAATTTTAAGATAAAAGTGTTTTGAAAAATGCTAGGAAAAGGAGCCACACCCCCTAAAAAAGATACGTTTTTTAAAGGGTTTTTCCTAATATTTCAGAATAGATAAAATTACAAAATTTGGTACCTAAACAAATGCCAAATAACAAAATTTTTAATCAGGGGCGTCCTAAACGGTAAAACAAATTTAATTTTTAATTTTTATGCTGTTTATGGTCTGTTACAAACTTTTAAACCGATTTTTACTAAAAATCCGTAAATTGTATGGGAAAAACACAAAAGACATTTTTTTATGAAAAACTATGAAATTTTGTTGCTGAAAGTGGCAAGAAAGCACAGGCAAAATAGTTAGAGTAAATTTTTACCCTAATCCCATCTAGTTTAGGAAGCACCTAACTAAAAATTTCAACATTTTATTTTTGTACTTGTTTAAGTGTATAAAAGTTATCGTCTGTAGCAAATTTTGAAATTTTTTTTCTAAAATAATTTTGGAAATATTGAAAAAACCTATTAAAAGACGCACCCTTTGCGTAGCATTTTTCGATGTATGTTCATAGAAAATTTTTGTTTAAAAAATGAATATTCATCTCCTGTTTAAATTTGTAACAATAAAAAGTATTAAAAATTTATTTTATTTTTTGTTAATTTTGTGAGTTAATTTGTATTTTTTATGTTTAATTASTAAGRCTCGGATTATATGCAAAATGCATATTAAGAGGTATATCTAATGTTTTTTGATTAAAATAAGCCAAATAAAAAAATGCATATTTTGCATATTTTGGCAACTTGGTGCATATTTTAGGAAATTTTTCATATTTGTGCATATTTTCTTCAAATCACAAATTTCCGATCAAAAATTTCAGTTCAAGTTAAAAATTGGCCAGTTTMTGAAAAATGATCCGATTACAAAATATTTTAAAGAAAAAACAACCGGTAATTCGTAAGCCAAACTCAAAAAATTAGTACCCTGCTGAGTGTTTCCTTTTTAAATTGTATTGAACTAAGCGGTTTTTTTAAATCATTTGTTTCCAAAAAATAATAATTAATATAAATTAAAGTAATATAAAAAATGATCTTATTTTAAGAACAAAATTTTTTTGTTTTTAAGTTATTCGATTTTTGTTGTCTAAATTGCGATATA